TAAACTATTCTCAGAGGTTGCCGAGTCCCATGCTTCAATAAGAACAAGCTGGGACAGAGGCTTTTCTATTCCTTGGTTGAACTCTCACATTACACATCTTATGAATAAGCGCGATTACCACCAGAAGAAAGCCAAGGGAAATAAATGCAGTATTCACTGGCGTCTGTATCGGGATCTGAGGAACAAAGTCACCCATAGCATCAAGAAAGCCAAATCCGATTATTACACTAACCTGATAATTGACAGTAGTAAATCAACTGTCAAAGACTTCTCGAGAGCTTTCAAACAAACTCTACCCTCGTCTAAAACGTCTTCCAGAATTACCAGTCTGTTAGCTGATGGCGCCCTTCTCACCTCAGCCCAGTCTATTAATACATACTTCGTGAACGTGAAAAAATTTCTTGCGGAAAAGATCGTTCCTAAGCCGTACACAGCTAAGGCTATGGCCTGCCATTCTACCTTTACATTACAACTGATTAGCGAAACTTTTGTTTCAAGATGGCGGCGGACAGGGGGAGACAGGGAGCCATTAACAATGATTCTAGAATAGGCATTAGAGCAGAATAGTTCGACCCAACCACAAAAGGAAGGGCCGAAACCAAATTTACGTAGCATTTTCATTATGAATTCGTGATGGACTCGATCAAAAGCTTTTTCTTGGTCTAGCGAAACAGGAATACCTGATTCGTTTGTTTTATCGATCATATCTAGAGTGTCGCGAAGTAATACTTGTTTAAAAGGGTGATAAACAGAACGCTTCTAATTACAGGCCAGTTCCATTCTGCCGACTATAAGCAAGATCTTAGAGAAGGCGGTTCATACTCAGTTTTATGCATATCTAACTGAGAATGATTTAATTTCACCCAACCAGTTTGGATTTAGATTAAAGTCATCTACTCTTACTGCTGCCTCTCAGCTTTCTGATCACCTCCTTCACTCCATGAACAATGGTTGCCTGACCGGTGCTGTATTTTTAGACCTGGGCAAAGCGTTTGATAATGTCAATCGCACAATCCTGCTTCAGAAACTCTCAAAGTATGATGCTGATGATGCTTTCAAGGCCTGGTTTACTTCATTCTTAACGAACAGAAAACAAGTGACCAGCTATAATGGTGCCGCGCAAAGTTGCCTCTGTTTCGATTGGCGTTGCTCAAGGCTCTATATTAGGCCAGTTTCTATTAATAATTTACATGAATGATCTACCTGACGTTTTGCAATTCTGTCAGGTCACTTTATATGCAAATGATACTGTTTTATATCTCGCCTCCAAATCTTCTGTGGAATTACAAAGCGAGATTAATGCTGCCTTAAGACGTAAATGTAAATTGCTTCGGGCTAACCAACTTACTCTAAATGTTAAAAAAAGTCCAAATTTTTACTTAATGGTAATAGTTCCCACTTAAGCAAAGCTGGGTCTGTCCTTATCTCTGCTTTTAAACGTGGCCTTTTCAAAGTTATCTTTGATTCCTAACGACATTCTTTGCTTTTTACCCTTTTTATATTCTTTTTATCTTTTACATTCTAGTATTTTTAACTCCTTATATTTGATGCTTGATGATTGGATATGCCTTTTCAATCTTTTTACATTTGTGTACGCTAAACTAGTTCTTAATCAAAACTTGGTATTCTTTTGAGGACCCTTCTGTAAACCACTTCGTGACGTTGGCATCCTCATTAAAGATTACTACTACTTGCAACCTGTTTTCTGTGTGGGGAATTAAGTTGGGGCATTAAGTTGGCTAGGCAAAGAGCAGGCTACCATCGCATTTTCCACTACAGAAGCAGAGTATGTAGCACTCAGTACGGCCACTCGGGAGGCAAATTGGCTTTGAAGATTGTTGGCAGACATGGGAGAACCTCCAGAGGGACCAGCTGAAATATATGAAGACAACCAAGGGTATTTCGATTGCTAAGAAACCCGTGGGCCATGCCAGGACCAAGCATATCGATACAAGTTACGACTTCGTTCGCGAAAAAGTACAGGATGGAGCGACCGCTTTGAAATACATTGGTACAGACGAGATGATTGCTGACATCCTTACGAAACCTTTCACTAACCTTCGCTTTGAGAAACCTGTTACTGAGCTTAAGCAAGAAGACTGTCAAATAAGGAACGTCAAATGTGGG